ATTAAAATGGATTATTCTATTAAGCAAACATCCCCTCTAATCATACAAAGATAAGATATCCAATTCACAAACAATTAAGCCATAAAAAATCATCACACATCCACCACCTTTGATTGCCTAAATTTGATTTTTCGCAAAGTTATGGACTCTTAAGGGTAACGTTCATGGGTAGTCTGTTTCATAACTCTAGAGAGCACAGTAAGCAGCCACCAGCCAGACACAGTGCGGTAGGCGAATATGATTCTCAATTCATAATTTCTCACCACCGGAAGTAAGAACAGACCATAATAATTGTAGCGTTAATGGGAGGTCTGTTTCATAGCACTACTACACAATTTGTTAAAAAAGAAATAAAGGTATTTAGCATCACGGCGGAACAACTTTTACAGGCCAACAACGACAACATGCTGCAACCACCAGAACTGGTATCACAACTCATAGGGAAAATCAAAAGATTTACTCTCAAATTAAGTAGTTACAACATCGAGCAATCGTCAAGCACATACATCATCACAAAAGTCACGGAACCTGATTCACAAAGCATTCAAACCAGTGCTGTGAAAACCGACCCGAGCTGGCCGGCCGAGCCGCCAAAACCGCCAACCGGGCACAAAACCGGCTTGGATGAACTATTTAGCCGGACTGGTTCATTGGGGCGGCCGGCGAGCGGCCGAAGCGGTTAACCGCTCGAACCGCTCGAGCCGGTCGTCCGGTTTTTTACATACGGCCGGTTGGTTTAATTAAAAAAAAAAGTTGGAAAATTAAAGGGGGTCGGGGTCAGGCTGTTCTGCAGAAGCAGAACCCTAATTTTTTTCATTCTTCTTCGTGGAGACAAGGAAGCGCCGCTTCCGACTCCAAATCCGTCTCCATCACCGCCGTTCCCCGTCTCCATCGTCGCCGTTCCCCGTCTCCATCGTCGTCTTCCCCGTCGTCGTCGCCATAGCCATCTTCCCCAGCGCCGTTCCTCCTCTTCGCCGCAAATCCATCGTCGTCGTTCCTCCTCGTCGCCATCGCCATCTTCCCCAGCGCCGTCACCATCGTCGTCTTCCCCGTCGCCGTCCTCCTCGTCGCCGTTCCTTCTCGTTCTCGCTGCCGAGGAGGAAGACGGTAGAAGAAGGTAGCTAGCTCCTTCTCGTTCTCGCCTACCCGCCGATTCCCCATCCGATTCTCCATCGCTGCCGAGGTAAAATGGACAGTAATTGGCATTTTCACTAATTTAATTAGCAATTAGTAGAAGAAGGTAGCTAGCTACCTATCTAGGGTTGAGCTATAAAATACTTACAAAATCCCAGAGGTAAGTGAAGGAAACGTTAATCTCATTTTATTTGCTGATTTGGAATGCGGTGACTGCCATTTTCCTTCAATCAGTTGCTGAGTGCTAGCAAACTGTGGATCCCTTAAGTGCATTTTTCTTAATTAAGAAGTGTCTACTATTACAGATGACTGTTTATTAGGTACCGGTTCTCAAACGGTTTTTAAACGGTCTAATGCCGGCTGGACCACTAATGACCGAGCCGTTCACGTTACCGGGTCATACTCCGGCTCGGCTTTGACAGCAATGATTCAAACATTTGAGGACTTTTCTGCAAAGGTACAACTTATATGTCTTTTTTCCAAGCCATTTCCATCAACATGCTAATAAATTTGCAATGCATAAAACAAACGGGCCAAAACTTGAAATTCAGCCTGTTTGACCGACCCATGCCAAATTCTAATTATTCTTTACTTTTAAACTTTCTATTTGAAAATAAAAAATAGTGAAAGAAAAGAGACGACTACAATTCGCCATTTGCACATCACTTATTCGGGAATAAAACCATAGAAATTCAAAAGGAACTGAAAATGTTTAGTATCGTTTTAATGTTTAAAATAACCAAATAGATCTTTATGTTTAGTTTTTTACTAACAAATACCAAACGATTCCCTATAAAATACACTATAATTTGATCATTATGATGTCAAATAATTATAAAATATATATTTGAAATTATAAAATTTGGACTAATTGGGTTGGTCGAGATTGAACCATTGAATAACTTTAAAATACATTATAGTTTAGCCACTAAGACATAAAATAATAGCATAATATATATTATGCAAGAGAAAATAGCTTGTTTAAGAATGACAAACCAATGATGTTCATTTGTTTTACTTGATGGCCAAATCCCATGTAGGTCAGGCCCATTCAACTCTTTTATTTTATGGTTAGCGGTTAGCCCATTAGATACCACACATTGGTTTATTGTTAAATTTTTTATTTTTAAAAATAAAAAGGAGTATTATTTTTGCCTTTTCATATATATTTTATCACCACGGAGAAATAAAAGGGTATAAAGAAAAAAATTGACACTCCTGGACCCGTTTAAATCCGCATGTGTACAGTAAGTTGGCCCGTTCCACAGAGGAAAGAGAAAAAAATTGACACTCCCTATTCTACCCTTCCTACAAACGCTCCGGGAGCAGGGAATTTGAAATGGGGGGAGAGTTTTTTTCACCCTGCTATTATATGTTTTTTATTTAAAATGATACAACAAATGTACTTAGTGTGATTGATTATGATCCTTGCCTTTCTTTAAAATGGTCATGGTTCGAATCTCGGTACGTATCTTTTTAATGAATAAAAAAAAGTAATTGTGAAGACCAAAATGTCCTTCCTACTTTCACTCTCGTTGCAGAAAATTTGAAATGGGGCTCCCGTTTTTCCCTTCGGCGTATTATAAGTATAGTAGAAGATACATGACCTTATGTGAACTAAACCTCCCATAACAATTAATAACGACAACAGAAATAAATTTGAGTTAAACTAATTCGTTTAACTACTTTATAATTTTTAATACACGTATTGAATGCAACAAACAACTGTAGAAATAATATTAAAAAATAAGAAGGGAAGAATGACCCACTAACCTTGTTTTGTTGCAAAATTCAACATTGATATGAGCTCCAAAACGTAGTGACAGATATCGATTATAGGGTACAACCCATCGATTATCAAGCTCAATTTCTCCACACTTGAATACTCTACCATTATTGCGCCGACGGTATTTGGCAAACCCATTGTCATCTATTGTTGTCTGATCACAAAATTCTTTTGGCTAATGTTTACTACATTTACCATTCTTCATGCATGAATTAGTCGGCCGTAATAACCCACATGGTCCATGCATCATAGAAGCAGTGACTATTGCATAAAGCTCAGGATCAAGGTCAGGATCTGGGATTTCAGCACAAATAACAGAATCAATATCAGCTGGTCCATAAAGCTTATTCTCAGGGGCCAAGAAGAAAAGCATATGTGCATGAGGGAGACCACGTTTTTGCCATTCAATGGCTTTTACATCTGTAAAATAGAAAAGAATGATCAGAAACCCTAAATACATAGGTAATGAATTGGAAAATAAAAAGATATAAGGGTTTACAAAAGGGACTTACATGCACTGATTTTGCCAAAAATTTCCTTGTCCACAATCTCCATTGTCAATTCATCTAGTTTAATCTTGAAAACTCTTGCTATTACATCAGCTCGATTAGGATCCTTGCCAGTGAATTGTCTAATCAAATCAATCATCAATTGAATTTCAGGCCAATTCGAGTTACATGTGAATGTGATGAACAAATCAGGATATCCAATCCATTTGCAAATGGCCATAGCATCTTGGAAATTTTCATACTTGTATCTTGGACTTCCAGTATGTGATGCCCCTAGAATCACTTGCTTTCCGGACAGCTTAAGATCACTATTACCTTGCAAATAAGAACCTACTAACCCCTGATAATGGTGCCCTCTTAACTTTGACTGATTATTATGCATCCAGTCCAAGCGTTCCGCCTCAATTAGAGCATATGCATTAACCATATATTGTTGAAATAATTTCCCAAAGAGTAACAAAGAATTTGATTCAACAACCCTAGTTTGCAGACGATAGCTATAATAATCACATTGTGATAACATTTTCTTCCCTCCACCACTTGTATTTTCAAGAGAACTAATATTTGGATGCCACCCATCTTCTCCATATGGAAATAAAAGTGGATATTGTAAAGGCACAAGACTGGGATGATACGAACTTATCCTTTCCATCTCAGAACTACGATGTTGAACAATTATATCAGGAGAGAATGTTTCAATTCCAGTTTCATCAACAATCAACGCTGCAATCTCATTAGCAGTGGGCAAATCGTATTCCCTACTATTACCCTCCCTCTTAGCAAATAATTTAAGCTGAAATTCATTAACACCAGACTCAGCTATCTTATCTATGGCAGAACGAAAAGTACGTACCAGAACATTATTCGCATCAAGCATTTCTTGTAGACCTTGAACAATAGATGCGCGTAAGGGATTCCTATCAGGATTCTGAACCTCATTGTCCGAATCATGAATGTATAGTTGTGCAAATTTAGGACTGACACCGTCAGGCGGAACCAAGCTTCCAATTCGATGATAAATTTGACCTCCAATTGAGTACACGTAAACACCTTTTCCATCATTGATGGATTAACTTTCCCACCGATGGAAATTAAACAAAATATACCATTATAACCTCTCGTGTTAGCGCGGAAATGACGGCTTTCTGCAGTATCACCTTCATGTAAGGTCTTTAATAATTCTGGAGGATCTCTACGCGTAGGAAGCTTCACTTTACCATGCTTGCAACACAAACCAAACAAAGGATTTGAATGATTCCTTGTCGACGACGTGCTCTCATACCTCCAAAACACAGCACCACAATGTAGGCAAGTGCATGACGGGAATCCAATATCGAAAAACTCGACAATTGGAAAACCTATAACACAGAACATAATGAGAAAAATATATCCAGTACACAAAAGTAATGATGAGAATAAGAAAATGCACAGACACCTATGTCGTTCCAAAATAGTAATAATATGAATAATTTTATCCTCTTTACATTTATATCCAAAAGATAAACAAAATGTGAACTGCAAAAGAACAATACACCAACATTTACAGGAAAAATATTCTCCCATCTTGGACAGCACATACTCTGGTTGGATCGATTTTGGAGAAGGGACTGACGTCGACGTTTTTGGATCAAATGGATACGGCGGTACAACCGATTTCGTTTGCTGAGTATATTAACATACTGAGTCTCCAACCTTCCAGAATCTAAATAATTTTAAAAAAAAATGAGTTCACTATAAATTCAGATTAAGACAACCACAAAAAAAAAAAAAAATACAAACCATTAAATTGCTCAAGCTGTTTATGTAATACCCTACCCTATACGTTTTGCCTAATCATATTGTTCATACAATTGCAGCGGAATTAATCTCGGGTGTTACACTAATTATCAAAATTTACCCAAATAAAATTTTGACATGAATTACTCGCGTAATGGGCTAACAGTTCTTCCATCTAATCCTGCAAAATAATTCATCTAAATCCATGCATTCATAGACAAACATATACACTCACTGCCATATGCATTGGCTTTTCATAGTCATAGTCACAGTTTCATGTTACACAACTGCATACTATACTGATACATGCCATAATCGTCACAACTTACATAATTACACAAATATACACATATCATCAACTTTCCACACCTGTGGATATCTCACACTACAACAGAAGCTAATATGCACATGAAAAACGTTCTCAAAACATTTTACAAAAAGGTGTGGATCACTGGCCAAAATCCCGAGTAGTAGTCCAAGCACAGAATAGTTGAAGACCATACCTCATTTTGCCTTCAACTCTTGCTAAGCTCCCACCTAACACTTATCTACTGCTGCTGCTGATAATCTGCTTACACATGGCATAAGCAGAGAAAAAGGATAAAGAGGGTCAGCTCATAGCTGAGTGAGATAATCATAGCATCGTGAGTTCATAACAGAGCATACCCCTACGATACATCTAGCAAACAAGCCAAAGCACTAGGATCAGACCTCAGCCATCCGACATCCCAATAGGCAAAAGACTCAACCACCTTGACTTATGCATATGCGTCTTATCATGTTTTACTTATAGGCGCCTGACTACTCCCATGCTAATTACTCTCCCGGGAATACGGACCAAACATCTCGTGGATGTGGTCATATCGGACCCACCACTGCCGGTGTAGTCATATCGGACCTGACACCACTATGGGTGTGGTCATATCGGACTCAACACCACTCTGGGTGTGGTCATATCTCATGATGAATCAACGGTCAACACCACATCAGGGGTGTGACATAACATATCATAACGGAGTAATAGCATGGGGAGCCCTAATTACTATGTAATTGACCATGAGACCAAATCAGTCTTATTTGGTAATCTTATACATAATCCATATCTCATCTTGCTTACTCATAATTCGTTACTTGCAGATGTACTTGACCTGGCCATAATTGGCTCAACATAGGTAAATCAGGAGTCGTATAATTGCACTTCCTCGGGATAAACCCTCGTGCAAGTCATCCTCCTTCAACATCATAATATCACCAGGGAATATATATTTTCCCACATGTGCATCCAAATACAACAATCATGAAAAATCATACCCAATCACCTTTTCGAACCATCATAAGGCATATCAACAGTCAAGCCCACAATTTGCAACATATACGAAATCATCACCATAAACAAGGTCCATCTCGATTACGGCAAGTCAATAATATCATACAGTAGTCCATGATTCTTCATATAGCACAAAAGTTCATACACCCCTAATCATGCCATTCTAGTTCACCTAGGTCAATTCTAAGCATCAATATAATTATCGTGATACGACAAACCCGGTATGCCGTGCTAATCCCTCACCAGTTCTGGTAGTTCAAACACCGGTTCTAGCCTCCCGTACTAAAACGTCAATTTCACGAACGAACCCCGAATTAAAATCCGAGACTGTTCTAATATCCCCTGCAGTATCCCCGTCAATATTAGTTCTAGGCTCCGGGTCAAATTCTTGATAAAAACACATCAAACCCTGGCCGGAGCTAAATTCAGCGATCCCGGCTCCGACCTAAATAATAGTCGAAATTCAGGGGTTAGAACTAGAGGATTGATTACCTCGCTGCAGGAAGCTCGTATATGAAATTTGGGCTCAATCCGGCTTCCGGATACTCCGAAACCCTAATTTGGCTTATCGGGAATTCAAGAAATTCCTGAACCAAAAACTCGTTTTAAAGCTCTAAATCGATAAATCACGATGTATAGATGAATTAGGCATTACTTACGGGATTTTTGGATCACTAGAGCTCAAGAATCGAGCCGTGAAATTTTTCCCTCAGAGCTCTGCGTGCGGCTCTGCTTCTCCGTTTACTCTCGGTCCAAAAAGAAAGAAGAAGGAGATGGAAAAATGAAACGGTGGGGGATTTAAATGGACAGGGAATATATATATATATATAATTATAATTATAATTATATAATTATAATTATAATTATATAATTAATATGTATACTTATCTGGTCGATCGATAATCCGATTTTCGTCGAAATACTACCAAAATGATCGATTTTAAATCGCGAACTTTCTAGCGATCGAAATATGGGTTTTGCCGGAACGGGATGTTACAATTCTCCCCTCCTTAAAAGATTTCGTCCCTGAAATCTAACCTTGAGTCGTACTCTAACTCCTCTTACTTACCCTTGACATTGTCTATCGTAGAGAAACCATTACCTACCTCTTAGGTTAGGAGATTCATAACATAGAAAGTAACACATAACAACTCAAGTTCCCATGTTTAGGTTTCAAAAACCTATACTGGGCTATCACAACAAAAGCATATCAGCAAGTTCAAAACATAACTTACTAAGCAAGATTGTTAACCTTTAAGGTAGGTTGCTACCAACTCAGGGTACTTCTCTCGCATACTTGCTTCAGTCTCCCAGGTAGCACTCTCACTTTCTTGATTCCTCCACACAACCTTCAACATTGGAATTTCCTTTCTACGAAGAGTCTTAATCTGAAAATCAACAATCTCAACTGGAACCTCTTCAAATGTCAAATCTGGACCCAACTCGATATCTTCTGGTTGTATAACATGGGAAGGATCCACTTTGTACCTCTTCAACATGCTCACATGAAATACATTGTGGATTTGAGATAGTTCTGGAGGCAATGCCAGTTTATAAGCCACTGGTCCAATCTTCTCTGTGATTTCGTAGGGTCCAATATACCGAGGTGCAAGTTTCCCTTTCTTACCAAATCTCATTACGCCTTTCCAGGGTGACACTTTGAGAAATACTTTCTCACCCACTTCGAAATTAAATTCACGCCTACTCGTGTCAACATAAACTTTCTGTCGATCTTGAGCCACCCTCAAACGCTCCCTGATTTCCTTGACCTTATCAATTGTGATCTGAACTATCTCTGGCCCTGAGATTTGCCTTGCTCCTTCTACATCCCAACATAATGGTGTCCTACATTTCCTCCCATAAAGTGCTTCATATGGTGGAACACCCAAGCTACTATGGTACTGGTTGTTGTAAGCAAACTCAATTAAGGGCAAATGGTCAATCCATGATTCCTCCCATTGCATTACACATGATCGAAGTAATTCCTCCAAAGTTAGGATGGTTCGTTCACTCTGCCCATCTGTTTGAGGATGATAAGCTGAAGTGAAATGCAGTTTAGTTCCCAAGGCATCATGTAAACTTTGCCAAAACCGAGATGTGAAGCTCGGGTCTCGATCAGAGACAATAGAAATTGGCACACCATGCAATCTGACGATCTCCTTAATATATAGTTGAGACAAAGTCTCCAGTGATGGTTTCCACCTAACAGGTAAAAAGTGAGCCGATTTGGTAAGTCGGTCCACAATAACCCATACTGCATCTTTTCCCCTTGATGATGGGAGACCATATACAAAATCCATTGTGATTCTTTCCCACTTCCATTCTGGAATTGGAAGTGGTTGTAGTTTTCCCACATGAGCTTGATGTTCTGCCTTAACTTTCTGACATACCAGACATGTGAAAACATGTTCAGCCGCTTCCTTTTTCATCCCACGCCACCAAAAGTATGGTTTGATCGTGTGATACATTTTAGTAGCTCCTGGGTGCATAGCATAAGCAGAAGAATGAGCTTCATCTAGGATCTCTTTCCTCAAGTTATCAACATTAGGAACACATGCCCTTCCATTAATCTTCAACATGCCATCTACCATTTCAAATGGGCTTTCTTTTCCTTCTTCAATGTCTTGAATTATTTTTGCCAACTCTGGGTCCTCCTTCTGCTTCTCACGAATTTTGTCATCCAACAAAGGTCGAATGTTCAACCGAGCTAGTAACCCTGTCACACCATCCACTTCCAAATCAACATTCATTGCCCTCAAATCAACCAGATCATTTATGTTCTTCTTCCCCTTTCTGCTTAGGGCATCAGCAACTACATTAGCTTTACCTGGATGGTAATCAATGGTACAATCATAATCTTTCAACAACTCTATCCATCTTCTCTGACGACTATTTAAATCCTACTGATCCATAATATACTTCAGGCTTTTATGTTCAGTTAGGATTTTAAAAGTCTCACCATACAAATAATGTCGCCAAATCTTGAGAGCAAATCCCACCGCTGCCAACTCCAAATCATGAATGGGATAATTTACTTCATGAGGACGCAATTGCCTAGAGGCATATGCGATAACTCTTCCATCTTGCATTAACACACAACCCAATCCTTGATACGAGGCATCACTATACACCACAAACTCTCCATGGTTTGAAGGTAAAGCCAGTACTGGTGCTGTGGTCAATCTCTTCTTCAGTTCATCAAAACTCTTTTGACATGATTCATCCCAAACATATTTGGTATTCTTCCTCAACAGTTTAGTCAATGGTGCAGCAATTTTGGAAAATCCTTCTACAAACCGCCGATAGTAACCCGCCATGCCAAGAAAACTTCTCAACTCAGACACATCTTTTGGTGGAGCCCAACTCACCACTGCTTCCACTTTTTTTGGATCCACCTCCACTCCTCTTCCAGAAATTACATGTCCCAGAAATATTACCTCCTTCAGCCAAAACTCACATTTTGAGAATTTTGCATATAATTGTTTCTCTCTTAGAATTTGCAACACAATTCTAAGGTGAGTTTTGTGCTCCTCTTCGCTTTTAGAATAGATGAGAATATCGTCTATGAACACAATCACAAACTTATCAAGATATTCATGAAAAACTCTGTTCATAAGAGCCATAAATACTGCTGGTGCATTAGTGAGCCCAAAAGGCATTACCAGGAACTCATAATGGCCATATCTTGTTCTAAATGCTGTCTTTGAAGTCGCTCCATCGGCCACTTTCAGTTGATGGTACCCGGACCTCAAATCAATCTTAGAAAAGACTGATGCACCCTGCAATTGATCAAACAAGTCGTCTATTCTTGGGAGGGGATAACGATTCTTCACTGTTGCTTTATTCAACCTCCGGTAGTCAATGCACATTCTCATGGATCCATCTTTCTTCTTGACAAACAAAACCGGTGCACCCCAAGGTGAGATGCTAGGTCGAATAAACCCCTTGTCTAGCAATTCTTGTAATTGTTCTTTAAGCTCCTTCAGCTCAATTGGTGCCATTCTATATGGTGCCATTGAAATTGGTGTTGTGCAGGTACCAATTCAATATCAAACTCCACTTCTCTTTCTGGTGGAAGGCCGGGAAGTTCTTCGGAGAATACATCAGGAAACTCCCTTACCACCTCTACATCTTCAACCTTCTTATCATTTACAACAGTAACTTGAGCAAGAAAGGCTTCACAACCTTCCTTCACTAATCGAAAAGCTTCCAAGGCAGAAAGAAAACCATGAGTCTCCTTTTTCTTAATGCCTCGGAATACAACATGACCTTTATCTGGTGTGTTGAATAACACTTCTTTCTTTTGACAATCCAAAACAGCTCCATGTGTTGCCAGAAAGTCCATTCCAAGTATGACATCAAATTCATCAAAAGGTAGCAGAATTAAATCTGCTGCTAGGAAAGCTCCTTCCACACAAATGAAGGAACTTCTAATAACTGAATCTACCTTCAAGGTATCCCCCACAGGTGTTTTAACACATAAGGTATAACCTAGCTTATCTGGAACTAAGCGTAGCATATGTGCAAACGTATATGACATGAATGAGTGAGAGGAACCAGTATCGATCAAAGCATATAATTGCTTGCCAAGGATAGAAAGCATACCAGTCACAACTTCTGGTGCCACTTCTGCCTCACCTCGAGTCATTGCATAAACCCTCGGTGCTCCCTGTGCTCTGGTACCCTGCGTACCACTTCCTGATGGCTGATTTCGATCACCACCTCTACCACCCTGTGAACCACCACGACCACTCTGAAATCCACTACGGCCTCCCTGGTAACCACCTCTGGCTGGGGCTCTACTAAAGTGAACTGAAGGTTCGGACTGAGTAGGTCTTCCTCCTCCCCTATAAGGACAGTTCCTCATGATGTGACCCGGCTGGCCACATTGAAAACATACTCCAGAAAACCTCCAACACTCCCCAAAGTGTCTCTTCTGACAAACTTGACAAACTGGAGCTTGTGTGGCAGAGGAAACTGGTGCCTTGTATGATGTTCCCGACATAGATTGACTCGGTGTTCTCCCAAAACTGCTAGGACCTCTCCTGGGTGGGTAACGAGGTCCAGCATAATTTACTCCAAACTTCCTCTTCTTCTCCTCTTCTTTGGCCTTGTTTTCCTCTCTACCCTCAACTTCATAGGCTTCATACTTAAGTGCTGCCTCCTTGATAGTGGCCATGCTCTCTTCATCAACCCTGTGGATCTTTTCTTTCAATCCTAGGCGCAGACCATGCAAGTATCTCATCTTCTTCTTATGCTCAGTATCCGCCAACCCATCTTCAAAGTAGAGTAGTCGAACAAACTTGATGGTATACTCTGTAACTGTCATATTCTCCTGCTTAAGGTTGGCGAATTCATTGTTCTTTGCCCTGATAAAAGCTTCGGGAAGAAACTCTGTCTTAAAGGCCTTCAGGAACTCCTCCCAGGTGAACTGAACTCGTTCACCATTAACTCTAGAGACTGAGGACCACCAGCTCCTCGCGTACCCCTTTAGGAGAAAAACAACATATTGTACTTTTTCCTCTGGGGTTGCATAAAGATACTCAAACACATCTTCCATCTCCCTCAACCACTCTACCACAGCATCCGGACTCACATCTCCTTTAAAGTCCCTACCACCCAAACTCTTCATCTTTGCATAGTCTAATACTGGCGGTCTTGCATCAACCGCCCCCACTCCTCTCGACTGGTCAGTAGGAACATTATGACAACTTCCGTGCGAGCTACAAGGAAATATTGGCCTTAGATTGATCCACACAAAATTCATTCTTCACCAAATCTCTCACTTGGTTAAAACAAAAATTTCCAAAATAATTACTTGAAAACAAATAAGTTCAAAACTCAATTTTGAAAACCATGATGCAGGTAATTTCATCAAAAATACCAATACACATAATCATGTCAAACTCAATTCCCAGTTTAAGTCATTATGGGGTACTCCCCTCCTTAGGAGTGTTTAACCTCCCATAGGGTATAGTACGCCATAACAACAAAAAGAGGGAACCAGGCTCTGATACCAAACTGTAACACCCTACCCTATACGTTTTGCCTAATCATATTGTTCATACAATTGCAGCGGAATTAATCTCGGGTGTTACACTAATTATCAAAATTTACCCAAATAAAATTTTGACATGAATTACTCGCGTAATGGGCTAACAGTTCTTCCATCTAATCCTGCAAAATAATTCATCTAAATCCATGCATTCATAGACAAACATATACACTCACTGCCATATGCATTGGCTTTTCATAGCCATAGTCACAGTTTCATGTTACACAACTGCATACTATACTGATACATGCCATAATCGTCACAACTTACATAATTACACAAATATACACATATCATCAACTTTCCACACCTGTGGATATCTCACACTACAACAGAAGCTAATATGCACATGAAAAACGTTCTCAAAACATTTTACAAAAAGGTGTGGATCACTGGCCAAAATCCCGAGTAGTAGTCCAAGCACAGAATAGTTGAAGACCATACCTCATTTTGCCTTCAACTCTTGCTAAGCTCCCACCTAACACTTATCTACTGCTGCTGCTGATAATCTGCTTACACATGGCATAAGCAGAGAAAAAGGATAAAGAGGGTCAGCTCATAGCTGAATGAGATAATCATAGCATCGTGAGTTCATAACAGAGCATACCCCTACGATACATCTAGCAAACAAGCCAAAGCACTAGGATCAGACCTCAGCCATCCGACATCCCAATAGGCAAAAGACTCAACCACCTTGACTTATGCATATGCGTCTTATCATGTTTTACTTATAGGCGCCTGACTACTCCCATGCTAATTACTCTCCCGGGAATACGGACCAAACATCTCGTGGATGTGGTCATATCGGACCCACCACTGCCGGTGTAGTCATATCGGACCTGACACCACTATGGGTGTGGTCATATCGGACTCAACACCACTCTGGGTGTGGTCATATCTCATGATGAATCAACGGTCAACACCACATCAGGGGTGTGACATAACATATCATAACGGAGTAATAGCATGGGGAGCCCTAATTACTATGTAATTGACCATGAGACCAAATCAGTCTTATTTGGTAATCTTATACATAATCCATATCTCATCTTGCTTACTCATAATTCGTTACTTGCAGATGTACTTGACCTGGCCATAATTGGCTCAACATAGGTAAATCAGGAGTCGTATAATTGCACTTCCTCGGGATAAACCCTCGTGCAAGTCATCCTCCTTCAACATCATAATATCACCAGGGAATATATATTTTCCCACATGTGCATCCAAATACAACAATCATGAAAAATCATACCCAATCACCTTTTCGAACCATCATAAGGCATATCAACAGTCAAGCCCACAATTTGCAACATATACGAAATCATCACGATAAACAAGGTCCATCTCGATTACGGCAAGTCAATAATATCATACAGTAGTCCATGATTCATCATATAGCACAAAAGTTCATACACCCCTAATCATGCCATTCTAGTTCACCTAGGTCAATTCTAAGCATCAATATAATTATCGTGATACGACAAACCCGGTATGTCGTGCTAATCCCTCACCAGTTCTGGTAGTTCAAACACCGGTTCTAGCCTCCCGTACTAAAATGTCAATTTCACGAACGAACCCCGAATTAAGATCCGAGACTGTTCTAATATCCCCTGCAGTATCCCCGTCAATATTAGTTCTAGGCTCCGGGGTCAAATTCTTGATAAAAACACATCAAACCCTGGCCTGAGCTAAATTCAGCGATCCCGGCTCCGACCTAAATAATAGTCGAAATTCAGGGGTTAGAACTAGAGGATTGATTACCTCGCTGCAGGAAGCTCGTATATGAAATTTGGGCTCAATCCGGCTTCCGGATACTCCGAAACCCTAATTTGGCTTATCGGGAATTCAAGAAATTCCTGAACCAAAAACTCGTTTTAAAGCTCTAAATCGATAAATCACGATGTATAGATGAATTAGACATTACTTACGGGATTTTTGGATCACTAGAGCTCAAGAATCGAGCCGTGAAATTTTTCCCTCAGAGCTCTGCGTGCGGCTCTGCTTCTCCGTTTACTCTCGGTCCAAAAAGAAAGAAAAAGGAGATGGAGAAATGAAACGGTGGGGGATTTAAATGGACAGGGAATATATATATATATATATATATATATATATATATATATATATAATTATATAATTAATACGTATACTTATCCGGTCGATCGATAATCCGATTTTCGTCGAAATACTGTCAAAATGATCGATTTTAAATCGCGAACTTTCTAGCGATCGAAATATGGGTTTTGCCGGAACGGGATGTTACAGTTTATGTATGACATTAATTCGCTTCCGCTTGCACTTCCTTCTTAAAATTAGATGTCTCCTCTGTCGTGCCAGTTGGGAAAGAACCTTTTCAATACATTGTAGTTCAGCTTGCAAATGGCTTTGTGCTGCAGAATTACATATAAGTATGAATCAAAACAATTTATAATAGGAGAGGCAAGGTGAACCTGAAGACAAATGGATATGTACCTTTTTCAAACACAGATTCTTCCTCAGCAGATAAAACGAAGCGTTGTCCCTCATCTTCAGGATTATAAAAGACTGCCCGACATTTCCCTGGAAAAACAATAGTTACCAAGTTGTGAGATTGGGTTTTGACCAATGACCACCAATCCATAACAGAGAAATAACGCACAAGGCGAAGACGAACGAAGACCCCTGTTGATGCCTGATGAATTGCCATGCAATGCTGCAACATTTGAAGTTTTAAAAACATAAAACCAAAAATACTAAGTCATTGGGGAAAGACTCATGAACTTTGCAATTATGTGATTAACAAAAACAAATACTTACATTGCTGAGTGGATACAGTATTATGAACGAAAGTCGACTGAGTAGATGACTCGCCTAACTCAAATGTAGTCACACCCATAATGCAGAGTTAGGGGAATGGGTTTGCACATAATCAATGATGTTCAGCTCACACCACACCACTTACTCTAAGAAAACAAAAAAAACACCATAGAAGACAACAATGGCAGTCAGGAATGAAGGATTAACCACCAACAATGTCATACACAGCTCAAATTGTAAAAACATGCCGCTAATCAGGAAACTGAGTCTGCTTTGCCAATTGATTACATAAAACTGGAAGCTATGGAACTGATTTCCCAATCATATCTCAATCTGGAACTGCAACCCCAACGGGTTCACCGAACTGAGATGTTCCATATACATCATTGGATTCATGAACATGACTTCGTAAACACTATGCACCAACTATATTGATTATACATCAAAACAGATGAGTAACAAAAAGAATCCACTTCTGGTTTTCGACCAAATAAAACAGATCATCTATGTTCTGCTATCCGTGCATAGTATATGGGGCACAAATCCAATATACAGGCTATGAAGTTAAAGGTCTAATAATAGAAGAAAAACCAAACTTTGTTGGATTACAGATCAAATCAAGCAAGCAGTTAGAGCTAAAATTACCAGACAAAGTAGTTAAGCTACTACGAATGAACCCCCAAAACTTTTATAGCAACAACCCTTTCAGACCCTGTTCGCACAACCCATCTAGGTAAAAAGATCCATCCTAAACCTTAAATCCCAACCACGAATAACTCATCTTAAGCATACATGAATTCGAAAATAGAATTCTTACTGATTTAGACGGTGAAGACGCAAAAGATAGAATTCAATTACGTAACTAAGCTCAACCCTACATGAACCCCAAACTTTAATTCTACCTGATTTCGGGGGTCAAGACAAAGAACGAAGTGTCCGGTTACCTTCATAAATGCATTTCAATGAATCGACACCATGGGGTGACAGCTCGCACTCGGATAGTGTTTAATTTCGACGGCGAAGAAGCTGGACGGACAGAGCGCCCTTACTGATTTCGCCCGTGAAGACACAGAACGGGGAGAGCACTTCTCCGACTGACCGGCGAAGAAACTGGAAGGAGAGAGAGCGCTTACTGATTTCGCCCGTGAGAAGAGAGAACGGGGAGAGCACTGCTCCGACGGTGAAATCAATGAAGAGAGCGAGTGAAGATCGTACCGACGGAACAAAAAACCACCAGGCCCGTTCAACGCAATATGAACCGCGGTATTTTTTCCCTGTCCCAAAATACCCCTCCGACAAACGCTCCGGAGGCAGCAATTTCAAAATGGGGCTTCAGTTTTAGGCTTCAGCGTATTATAATTAGAGTAGACTTATATAAATTTTGTTAGTAAATAATATAAGATTGATAATTAAATTTTGCCTGAT